TTTAATTTTCAATAATATTTTTCTTTTTAAAAACGATTTTACTCCAGGGTTATCCCTATTCTCATTGAATCACGGATATATACACTAGGTTATACTCTTTACCACAATAACAATTTATGGATAACAACTACAAACAACTATAATTAACGAGGTGATCACTTGGATCATTGCGCAAATACTTGGAGTCAATTTTTATGCATTTTTTTTACATGTACAGTTTGTCCCCCTGGCCTAGTTTCTGATCCTCCCTGGGTCTTGTCTGTAGATAACTTAGTATCACCAAGGTATCCAACTTTGGCCATATTCTATAAGACTGGGATTAAAGGGCTGAACATTTTAAATGGTCAGTTCATATTTTTTTAGTAAGACAACTTTAAATATTTTACGGAATAATTTTTTCCTCTTACTACACAAAAAATACCACGTGATAATTTATTAAGCCCCGACTTACGCTACCTCGATATAAGCGAATTCGGAGTTACACGATTTTATAATTTTCTCGTGTATTCCTCTTCTTCAGGATAATTTGTCATATTATCTACAATTACACATTTATATTCTACATTATTGTTTTATTTAGTCTCCAGTCCCAATTGAACATATTTTGCACTTTACATGCAAAATTGTATCCCAACTTACGCGAATCCTTACTAATATTATAAAGGCGAAAGTTTGTATGTATGGATGGATGTTTGTTACTCTTTCACGCAAATACTACTGAATGGATTTTAACGAAATTTTACAATAATATAGCTTATACACCAGAATAAGACATAGGCTACAATTTATACACATATTTTATGTATATCTGTCTTTCTGTCTGAATGTTATGCCTTCAGCCTATTCTACGAAGACGTGGTCGCGGGCAGCAGCTAGTTCAACATAAACGGATAGCGCCCTTTTTTTTTTTTTTTTAACGATGGGAAATGCATCATGCATACTCTCCTTAGGGGAAGCAAGGAGAGTTATGTTGGACTCCCGCTCTGAGAAGGGCAGACCTACCAACTAAAACCCATCGGGTGTCCTCCTCTGCCGTCAAATGCTGGATTGCAGGGCCCGCTTAAGCGATTCTGCTGCAACCCAGCCATGGCTACCCCGACCCTGCACAGGGCTGGGGCACACCACGAAGGGACTTTTGTCCCCGTCCTCCGCATGAGTGCCCATGACACCAGTGGGCACTTAGCCTTCGCGGGGCCTCATACCGTTAGGTGACAGACGTCCCCACGTCTGTCACCCGGAGGCCCATTAGGGAGGGAGACGGCGCTCGTGTACCGCCCGCCTTCTCCCCATGCGACGTCGCCGGATCGGGTCGGAAGAAGCATTCTCCTCCCTCTCCCTTTCGGCGGCCTCCTTCTGTAAGACGACTGTCTCGCAGAAGGAGGCCATCGCCCTCCACGCCGCCCTGCTGTCGACCATTGTTCTAAAGATGGCTGGCAGCGAGAGATCCGACCCGACGACGTCACGGAGCCGCCCTCGCGGCTCCTCCAACGCCGGGCATTCCGTCATCGTGTGCTGCGCCGTATCGTCGGCGCAGGCACATTGGTGGCACCTTTGGCTCGGTTCCCTCCCGATAGCGTGCAGGTAATGACCGAAGCATCCATGCCCAGTCATCACCTGCACCATCCGGAATGACAAACTGCCATTTCGGGAACCGATCCACTTCTCCAGGACAGGCCTAATGGCCTGTGCCACTCTATGTCCGGCAGTGGGAGCCGCCAAACGTTCCTGCCAGGTGCGCATCAAAATGACGCGCGCCTGGCGTCGCCACCTTGCGATTCGTTCGGTGGAAACGTTATCGCCGCACCCCTTCGCCTCAGCGACTCGGCGATATACCTCCGCGAGGACTTTAGCCTCTAAGTCTCATGGTGGGGATCCCGCCAAAGCACACGCCGCCTCGCCGGCCACTGTGCGGTAGCCGCGTATAGCCCTGAGTGCCATGGCGCGCTGCGGTCGTCGCAGCAACGCTCTATTCGGGGCACTCAAGGCATCCACCCACACAGGAGCTCCGTAGAGGGCCATCGATCTGATGACCCCCATGTACAGGCGGCGGCAGACCGACCCTGGTCCCTCCACATTAGGCAAGAGGCGTCCAAGAGCAGCGGATGCCTTTAACAGATTCGGTGTCAGCCGGCGAAAGTGAGCGACGAACGTCCACCGTCCGTCTAGGACGAGTCCGAGATACTTCATCTCGGACTCGACCCGGACCTCCACTTCTCCGATCCGGAGTGGTGTGCCTGCAGCCAGCCTCCTTCTAGGTCCATGGAAAAATAGGGCCTTGGTTTTCTCAAGGGCCACCCGTAGGCCTTGAGCTCTGATGCGGGACACCACTAGTCCCACACCGACCACCGCCAGCTGGGTCGCCTCCTGATGCGTCGCGCCGCGGGCAAGAACGAGTGTGTCGTCAGCATAGCAGACAACACGAAGCCCGCGCAGCAGGGCACCACGGAGTACCCTGTCGTAGCCGATGTTCCACAGGAGTGGGCCAAGGACCGATCCCTGTGGAACACCGCACCACGTTTCCCTCTGTACGAAGACGCCATCGCGCCCTACACACACAACGCTCCTTCCCCGTAGGTACGCCACAATAAATGCACGCAGGTACCGGGGGAGTCGGTGGTATCGGAGGCCCTCCTCGATGGTAGCGAACGGCAGGGTATTGAATGCGTTTGCGATGTCAAGAGACACCGCCAACACCACGTTGCCGTTTGCCGCCTACTCCTCCGCATACCCCTTGACACACAATATGGCGTCTATTGTGGAGCGCGATGGTCGGAACCCGTACTGGGCGTCGGACAGGTCAGGACCCTCGCGACCACCCTCTCCAACAGCTTACCGGCCTCGTCCAACAGGATGATTGGCCGGTAAGCCGAGGGCGATTCTTCAGGGCGTCCCTCCTTACGAAGGAGAACAACCCTGCCCGCCTTCCAACACTGCGGGAACTCTCCACGCCGAAGACAAGCGGTGAAAAGTTCCCTCAAGCGTTCCTCTAGGGGCCCCAAGGCCAAGACCAGAGCCCTGCCGGGCACACCATCGGGGCCAGGGGCCGTTTTGCGCCCACGAAGCCGCAGAAGTGCGGCTCCCATCTCACCCTCGGATACCAGAGGCACCTCCTCGGTGGTTTTCCGGCTCAGGCACCGGTGGGATAACGCCAGTTGGGGCCGGGAACAACACGCCTCCAGCACCGTGGCCAGCCGTTCCGGTGAAATAGATTCAGCAGGCGGCGGACCCCGACCAAGCTTGCCCCGGTTGCTCGGTATGGACGACCCCAGGGATCGCGGTCCAAGCCCGCGAGGAGCTCACCCCAGGCAGTGTCTTTGGCCCTCAGGATGGCCAGCTGCAAGGATTTTTTGGCGTCGTGATACGCCCTCTGCAGATGGTCATTCAGTTCCTCATTCCGCGGCCGCCGCCGCCGCTTTCGTTGGAACTTCCGGCGGGCGGCGACACAGCGTCGCCGAAGATCCGCAATGTCAGGTGACCACCAGTACACCTGCCTCTTTTGAGGTCTTTGCCGCACGCGGACCATGCAGGCATCGCAGACCCTGGTGATCGCGCTGCGGAAACACATCGCCTCCTCGTCCGTCGTCCCCGGAGGCGGGGAGCTCCAGGACTCGACGATGGCGGCCTCCTTCAGCAGGTCAACGTCCAACCCCGCGAGAGCCCATCGCGGAAACGTTGAGGCCATCGCAGGGAAGGCGGGGACCAACTGCATCCCTCTGGAGGAGGAGACGCTGAAGCGGATATATAAGTGATCCGACAGCGTCTCCACCTCCCCCATAACTCGCCAATCTCGTACTGCCTGAGCAACCCGCCGGGCTCGCAAAGGAAAGGTCTACAATGGACCCCCCTTGGACCCGAACACAGGTTTGTGCTGTGCCGCAGTTGAGAAGTGCCAACCCAGATTCCGTGGCCCAGTCTTCAACCGCAATCCCCCGCACGTCTGTGGCAAGCGATCCCCAAGCCGTATTCTTGGCATTAAAGTCGCCCGCCACAATTACCGGTCGAGGTGCAACTCGCCTAATGGCCGCCTGCATATCACCGAGGAGCGTCTCGAGCTCAGCGAGGGTTGTGTTTGGGGAAAAATACACCGAGAATATTGTGTATATCCCCCAGTCGGCCGCCACAAAACCATTTCCCCTCTCTTTGACGGAAAGGGGCGTGGTACCATCTGGAACATAGATGGCCGCCGTGCCCGTAGCATCCCCTATCCAGTTGGCGGGTATGCAATAAGGCTCCGCTACCACCGCCAGTCCAATTTGGAATAATAGATCCTGGGCACCGGCGCAATGGTTTAGGTTTATCTGGAGGAAATGTCTATCCCTATCCATTATTAGAGTCGACACACATTTCCTCTTGTCGGGACGAATCCCGATCCACCTGCTGGGAGGCCGGGGTCCTGCCGGCTTTTTTCCCTTTTTTCGGTGGGGAGGAACCCTTAGCCCCCACCGAGTGCTCAGCTGGCCTACCTGCAACTGCGCATACTGCGCAGTGGGGTTTGGCTAAGCATGCCGCTGCTTTGTGTCCAGGAGCACTGCAGCGATAACAAATATCGCTGCGGTCCACCTCCGAAGTGCACTGGAGTCGCGTGTGCCCGATTTCTAGGCATCGGAAGCACTTCATAGGGCGCAGTTCCAGGGACTCGACGTGCACATAGCTCCAGCCAATCCTCATACTCCGAGCTGACACCAGGACCTTAGCAGCTGCCACTGGACATTGCACCCAGATGCAGCCAGTGCCCCGGCGGCCCTCCCGAATTTCGCCCGCCTTGACGTGGTCAATGGGACAGGCGGCTGCAGCGACAATCGCAACGAGCACCTCATCCCTGGTGACGGAATCATCCAGGCCAGTAAGACGCAAATCCGCGCACTTCACCGGCCTGGCGATCCGTGCCTCTCCGGCGAGGACCTCACGGAGCTTCGCGGCGAAACTGTCCGCTGCTTCGCTCGTGACCCCTGCTGGAAGCTCGAGAACTCGAGCTCCCGTGGCCGCCTGCCTTATTTTCAGGCCTGCCGGGATGTTCAAGGCCGTCAGATCTAACCTCTGACGGGCTTTGGTGAGAACATCACTATACGTAACCCCCTTTTCGACGGCATCGTGCTGTGGCCACAGCGGGTCTTGATGCCGTACCGGACTTGGGCACCGCAGCGGATCCCGTTGCGACCAATGGGGGGCCTCGGCACCGTAATAGATTTCACGGCGGCCGCAGGTGGCTTAGGCGTCGCGACGGGCTTAGCCACAGACTTCTTTGGCTTGGCGGAGATGGAAGCCGACATCTGCACGTCAAGCGCGGGCGCTGTCTTCTTTCCCTTCCCCTTTCCCTTCCGTACCACTGCACTCCACGTCTCTCTCAGAGAGGTAGGGGTGGGATCTGGTGCCGATGAAGGCCCAGGTTCGGCGCTACGCCTATCCGCAGCCAAAGGCGGCCTCAGGCGCTTCTCCGGGAGCAAGCGCTCCTCGAGAGCCTCGAATCGCGCGCTGATCATCGTCCCTACTTGGGATAGTACATCACGCGCGATATGCTCAGCCTGCAGTGTTGGTGCCGGCGTCCGTTCCTGGGCTGGGCGAGCCGCCTTCTCTATACTGAGACGCATGCTAGCAACCTCCTTTTGGAGCGTCGCCACCTCGTCCCGCAGCCGTTTGTTGTCGGCCTGGAGGCGGCGGGTTTCATCAGTCGATGATATGCTCTGTAGAGCGTTCACCGCCTCCCGGATCATCTCAGCCGCTTTCTTAAGGGCTTTTACAAAAGTGCCCTTCAGGTTCTTTGATTTCGTAGCGACTTTGGTGATGACTTTAATGACATCATCGACCCTCTCAAGCAGGGTCGAAGAAAGGCGAAAGTCGACTACGTCGTCAAAGCCAGCGGGGCGCAATGCTCTATCGAGCCGGCGCCTTTGGATCAGCTCTGGAACCTCCTTCTCCGCCTGGAGCTCCATCTCTGCCCTCCTGGCTTCCATGAGCTCCCGCTTCCCTTTCGCCAGCCCCAAATACTGCCCACTATTGGGCGGGCGGCCTCTACACCTTTTAGGCACAGGGGTGCCTCTCCTTTTGAACGCCGAAGATTCCGGATGATCATCTGCTTCGGCGTCTGCATCCGAGGCGCGAGTGCGCTTCTTGCGCACTCTCTGGGCCTCTCCGCTACCCATACTGGCAAAGCTAGCGTTGCTAGCTACGCTTTTTTCCAATTCCAGGCTCATTTCAGAGCCAGAATCTGACGCGGATATACCGCCTACCTCCTCTAAACTCCCTACTGTGGTTGATGTCAAAGGGCCATCCTCCTTTCTTTGGGTATCACAGCGTTCGAGCTGTACGCCTAACTCCTTAAGAACGTCATTTCCTTTTAGATTTTTCTTTTCCATTTTTATTCCCACGAGTTGGGACGATATAGCTGCACTCCCCGGGTTACGCCCATTCCGGTCGACTAAAAAGTGGAGTGGGGTACATACTGTGGAGGTCCCCAGGTATCCACAGGTTTTAACGAGGGTTCTCTCGGGCTTTATAGGGTTTTCCTTCCCGCGGGCCGGCCAATTAAGGCAAGCCCTCCGACCAGCGACACAGAAGCACTCACACATATACACACCCAAACACATACACATACACACACACAACATCTCCAACTGGAGCCACCAGAAGGGTCGTTGAAGTGAGTCGCTGGTTGCGGAACGAGGAGTTGGCGAAATCTCCTCCGACGGTGGCGTCAGACGCACTGAGATTAGTCAGCGCGCCAACCCGTCCTCCTAGGCCCTATCCGATGTGTTCTCTGCTGATGAGAGAATCACACGGAGAGCCCCTCCTTGTGCTGCTCTTCGTCTGGTCCCTCGCTCCGAGCCTGTCCGGTATGGGAGACCCTATCCGGCATAGCCTTGGAGGTCATTAGGACACGCAAGCCCCTCCACCACAACAAGGTGGCAGCACGACGGGGGGAAACGGATAGCGCCCTGTCCCAACTATGTAAGTTCGGCATATTACTGTAAACCTTTTCTATAATAAATGAAGATGGAGCGAGATATTTGAAGTCGGTTTTGTTTTTCGGTAATAAAAAAATGGACTTGTAAAAATGTTTCGCAAAACTACGGCCTGGTAAATTACGGATTTACGGAAACGACCTTACAGAAGACCGGCGTGAAGTGGAAGTGTTAGTGTTAAGTGTACCTTTGTCTGGTGAGTGAGGTAGCCTTGGCACGCTTAATTCAAAGGAGGTAACGCGTATGCAAACTTACGGGTGTTGCAATGGTAAGCAATAATCACTTAACAGGTGAAGCAAAAGCTCACTTGCCACCGTCTCACATAAAAAAAACCATAGTCAAATGTACATATTCTTTTTAAACTGAATGTAATCCTTATTTTTCTTTCTATTTTATTATTTAATGTCAATAATGGTAGATATAACGTGGGTATGTAATAATTTAATAATTATTTATAATTTATTAAACTCTAATATTCATTTCACTTCAATGTAATAGCTATTACTCATACTGATAAAAGCCCTAAATATCTGTAGGCGCTTGCCATAAGCTTCGTAACTTTTGTGAGACGTGCCTGTAGGGATTCACTTAACTTGTATTAAAGGTCTATGTATATTATGTACGTTTTTGAGGATATATACTATTTCATAAATCTTAAATAACAAATAAGCTTATATTAATTACTTGAATTACTTGAATATTTTATGATTTCAGTTATTTATTAATCTTAATCTCATTCAGTTATTGAATTTGAAGTGTCTTTATAAAGTTCATTAAAAAATCGAGTCCTGTAGGTAGGTTTATTTTTGTTTTGGTCGCTTATTATTTACTTACAGAGATACACGAAATAAATTTCTATTAAAAGAAAAATTATTTAAACGTAATTAAATAAAATCTTTTTATTAAATTATGTTTTCTCTTGTTGTTAGAATCGTATGCTTTTCTCCTAAAAATGTAACTTTGACTTATCTACTGCATTTGCTGATAATACTTATTTCATATTTTGTATTGTTTGTAAAATCGTGTTGAAAAGAAGCGTAAAATTTAGTTTTATACTAAATATGTGTGTGACATTTATTCGTTACTTTCGATCAATCGGTAGCATCGTACACTAATTTGGAATGGGTTCTTCACGACTGTCACGGCTCTTTAAAGTCACCACGGAACTTTAAGCGGCAAGCTACAACAAAGAAGAGAAAGAGAAGACTCCACATCGATGGAACAATAAATGAAGGATTATTTGATGTTAGAATCGCTATATATTAAGCCCAACAATTCCTCGGAACACTCCTCATGATAAATGCTGAAGAAGCTGCAGTGTGATCCAACATCCTTAAGCAGAGCCAAAGAATCAAACCGATTGGAAGGATTTTGATAGGCGGTAAATAAACCGATATAACACTCGATTTACTTTGGCTTGTGAAGAATGACCATATTAAGTTCAACACGAACAACATGAAGATATCCTCCGATATAAAATGATGACAAGAAGTCGTAGGCACCGACAACAAGATTAAATTAATGCAATTATTTCTGTAATATTATTTCACATTTTTTAATAACAGGGATAAATTTGCCTGAATACTGTTTTAATATGATAAATTTTCACAGTTTCTAAAAAATACAATGTTTCTCAAGACTCTTACAAGATAAACAATTTATATGTATGCCTATTAATATGCACAGGGAACTCCGTCGCAAGGTAAGTTAAAATCGAATATGAATTAGTATAACGATAAACAGCAGCAGAGAAGTTAGTAAGCAGCGCCCAAATAAATTGTTACCACTATCTGAATTAAAGCAATAGACTAAAGAACATTGTGCCAATCTCGTACGTGCGTGTTCGGATTAGATTGCCCCGTGTAAATTTGTTTCACGTTCAAATAAGTTGATCCCAAGGGTCGCACGACTGACGGACTTAACACTTGGGTATATAGACAGTCACATTTATAGTATTTACATCACAGATTTTGATGTATGTACCATAATATAAAAATATTAATGATAATAATTGCTGAAAGGCGCACGCGTTAAAACCAAACATAAACATTTCTAACAATATGTTACGTCTAGAGATTTATTACGGTCTAAATTATTGCTCGATTTGGTCCGGACGGACAAATAAACAATGCGATAAGCATTATAAAATTAAATGTTCAGGTCTTGTAATTTACTCATGTAAGTCCATCCTTAAGGTTAACCACATAATTAACCTTAAAGGTTGAGGTCAAATATATTTATTCATTACTATACAGGGAGATTTTTTTAGAAGTGCCCAAATTTACACAGTAGGTTCAGACTCGGTATTATAATCGTTTATTGAAATAAAAAACAAAGTTTTTTTTCCAAAAAAAATGCCATTCTATTCCCTAAAAAACAGAACGTGTTGACAATGCGGTAGTTATTCATAAATACCTAAATGTTACTGTGCACGACCTTGTGTGCGTGTTAGTTATGAATGATCGCGCGTAAAGTAAAAGAGTTGCGTATTAATCACGCACTTTTTGAGATAAGTTCAAATGAATGTATTTAATTACTTACAAGTGATTTTAATTATATAACATTATTTATGTCTATAATTTAATAAATAAATGGATACACTTAGAAAAGCCACCCTGTATATGTATCCTATTTACAATATAGTACGGTATAGATTATGAAATATAACAAAATGAGAAGAAAAGCTTTAATTGAAAGTTTAAAATTCCTTATAAGACGTGAGTAATTTCGTTATGGAGAGTCAAACTTGTATCGACTCAAGTGAAAACCACACGGTGGTCACCAATAGATTTAATTAAAGGTCAAGTGATACTAAACGTTACACTACCGTGGTCATCGCTATACGCTTAGTTAAGCTAGCTCCGTCGCTCCGCGCTCCAGGCGTGCAGGTGGCGCTGGGCAATGTCTTCTCTGTGTTTTTATGGACCTCGGAATGAACCACCTGCGGACGCCCACATAATAGTGTACGGCGTTTGTGCTGATATCAAGTCTACCATGAGATATCTTGACCTAGTTCTATATCATCGATAGGATTTCTACGTCCATTTCGAGCGTCTCGTTCCTAATGTGGCGAAAGCAGCGGGACACACTAGACTGCTTCCAAACACTGGTGAAAGAAAATTCTATGACTCCTGCCGATAGCTACACGCTGGAGTCGTGAATTCCATGGCTCTGTACACCTTGAACCCTGTCTTTTCCGCATCGGCCTGGAACACGGAATATGAACAATGGAACAAGGAGTTGCAATCTTCTTCGACCCCAGCACACCTTAGGCCTTCTTAGGCCCGTTTTCTCCGGGTGCTAAGACAGCCAGTCCGGTAATAGAGTACTGTGCTATTGGACAGCACCCCTCACGAGCCTCGAATTGAGCAGGAGGTTCATACTAACCCCTTGGTGGCCATATTTTGTTTGAGGAATCTCCTACGAATGCACCGGTGACCCTCGGTACTGCGCATGAGCACACCTCGGAGAAGGATAATCCTTCCCCGAGTCACTCACCATTTTACAACAGCTTGAGACTCTTCTTTACTACGGCTTTGATCCTCAATGGATTCGTCCCTATAAACTGTTCACATTATTCTGTAGTTATTGATTCCCAGGAGTCCACAATTTGAGTTTTAACACACTTTTTGAACTTGAAGTATACTTAAAAATTTGTAGAAAAAGTTCGAAAAGTTTGTCGCCGCTGTGGGGATTAAACCCACGTCTACGGCATTTGCGACCTGACGCTTTAGCCACTAAGCTAAACGGCTGATTACCACACCGACGAAAATCTTAACGTCTTTCTACAGTGTTTTATAGCATTTGAAGAAATGCTTGGCGCATCCATTGTTATGTCCTTTCTAGCATCAGTTCAAACAGTTTCGAATATCGTTCTACAACGATAATTGGAATGAAAGATGTCGCCATTGCTATTTAGAAATTTGATTTTTTATAGTGTTAATCTCTGCACTTAAATTAAACATTAAAATTCGTAGAAGAAGTACGAAAAGTTTATACCCGCTGTGGGAATCGAACCTACGTCTTCGGCATTCGCGTCCTGACGCTTAGCCACTAAGCTAAAAGGCAACAGCAATTTATTTATCATGTGGACGGATTTTAAAAAAATAATTTTTAAATTATTAATATATTTTTTATTATATTATATTTTTTATATTTTAAATTATTATATAAATTTTAAAATATTAATAATATGCAAAGAGTGCATATTTAAAAACCTCGTACACAGTGCCCAGCCTAGACGAAACATTGCCGAGAGGTGTGCACTGTCGTAGAGCTTGACCTCTCGCTCAATGCCATCTTAGGCAATATCAGAGCTCTAGGGCACACAAAACTTAGAGGCTCTGATGGAAAGTAATAAAAGTGAATGACAAAAACATTTTTCTGCTATTATATATAAGATATATTTCTTAAAGATAATTCCTAAAAGCTTCTGTCGGAATACCAAAAATTGAAAAAAAATGTATAATTTAAGCGAATTCCTAGGCCACGCGGGGCCCTGGGCATGGGCCCCGTGTGCCGTTATGGTACGTTAAGATAATACTGCCTCGCTACCTACGTTATCACCACAAAAACCAAATCAATCGAAAGAAATCAACATATTTGGTTTATCCATAATCAATACATTATAGATGAACTTTACACTTTCACATTTACAAAAAAAAAGAAGCAAGGGAAAAAGAACATTAATTTTGTATAAGATAAATTTGTTTAGAATTTTTTTTTTACGTTCACTCTACCGTTAAGGTTGTATCTGAAGTCCTGTTGCGACTCGTTTAATTGTCTATTACGATTAACGTGTTGGGACACGTCCGCTTTTTACGAGACTCATTACCAGGGTATTCCGAGATAATAAAACAATGACACTTGCAAAGTTGCCTTCATTCTCCCGTATTTCGTCACGCACGCACGTACACATGACATGACTTATGTACGTTTATTGTTATGTTGCAATAATTAAATTTAAGAGGTACTGGAGGCTGTTCACCAACTTCTCAAA